CGTGTCTGTCGCTATTACTACGTCACAATTCATTCTCCTTATATGGAGCTGTGACAAGAAGCTGTCCATCAGATCTCTTTGAACACGAGAGTTTGCTGACATCAACATTGTCCGGTAATGTGTACTGTGTAGAATAATACTCAGATCGTGATACTCCATCCTCACACTCCTTCTTCTGGGATTTCACCATTATGGAGTTACCCTTGTGTAGCACTTGGACGCCATCGCCACCGAACTGGTCTTTGTTGAAGGAGAGTGTAAACGTTTTCTGTTTCTCGTCTCTTACTATTTTTCTGCTTTCTTCACATACATCTAAATCATCATCACGTGTCTCCTGTCCCTGATCAGAACTCAAATCTGAATATTCTTCGTTTTTCATTAGAGACTGCTCATGTTGGATCAGGATGTTAGATTCATCAGCGACTTCATCACACACTCTATCTTTCCGCTTTGATTCAACAATCTCAAAGTCCTCTCCATCAATTAAACTATCAATGCTTTCGGGGTTATCGACGATTCCTTCTGGTCCAGTTTCTCCATTGATATCACCGATGGAGCCATCTATTACACGGACCTCTTCCATCTTCTCAGATTTGACAAAATCATCCTTTTCCCCTGTGGTGGAAACCTGTCCTTCTAAAGTTACTTCGGACTTTGGTTTTTCCGCTCCAATTTCTACAGGCACTTCCCGAAACGCCTTATTTTCGTTCACAGGCATGACATTTGCTTCTATAGTAAGCAGACCATCGTGTGTAAAGCGACTTTTCATGGAACTAATGTCAACACCTTCAGGTATAGAAATGACCCTGTTGCTCTCGTAAACATCCGAACAGTTCTCATCTCCGTCCACTCGACGGGCTTTGATTAGGGCTCGTCCCTCCTTGGTGGTAATCGTGACGTCATCAGCGTCATACCCTCTTAGATTCAGTTTCTGTACCCATTTCTTGGTCCTCGGATTTTCGGGTTGTCTGAGTTTATTGTGAGATGTATGACCTGTCAAAGCTGACAAGAGAGGCAGTAGGATATCCGTCAATTCAGGTAAGGGACGATTGTCCTTGTAGGAGGAGCGCCGAGACAGGTGCCCGGGGTTGAAGGCTTGTCTGCAAGTTGATGGTCGTCGATCCCAATAACACTCCGGATAGTGATGAGGAGCAGTTCTCAGTGTAAACATTTTGCTGTCAGTTGAATATGTTAGTTGGTGCGGCGTTTGTAAACCTTGTGTAGATCTTTCCTGTACTCGCTTCAGTCTCGATAAACAGTTTGAGTCTGGATGGGCTATGTGTTGCCTTATATAGTAAATGATCAGTAATGTAGAAGTCGCGAGAAACTTCTCGAGACGACTAGTAACCATATGACGTGTTACTATAAATAGACACAAGCGTAACAGAAATATACCATGTCAAATCAATACATAGTAATATATATGCGTCTTGATCATTCTAGAATTATCTTTTATAATCAATTTCATCATATCTCATCTCAGATTGTGAAACGTAAATGCTGGTAGGGTTCCTTACGGTATATTTGTATGTATGTGTAGAATGACCTATTTAATAAGGGGAATCCCCTACACATTATAGCAGGGCTACATTTGTTCAGGTTTACTGGACATTGAATCATATTAATTGATACTTCGCTCTCATTCAAAATCATTGAATATATCTGCGATGTTGAACCTTATTGGTACGTCTAGATATATTAAAATATTTTATATCTAGATTATCATAGTATATCGTATGTGTATATGATTTACAATGCAGCTTAAACACGATATTTTATATAAATGTCTTGATAATAAGAAGACTATCTTAAATAATTGTAACGGTTGTTTATTTTCAAATATGTATCATAAAAGTACTATGTCAAAGTTATTCATTACACTCAAACTTTGCCAAACCACGTAACATATGAATTTAAATAGACAAATAGAAAGTTAGGAAATGAAATTCCAATGTAACGATCTGAAATGGGAGTCCCACAATTCTAAAATGTATCGTCATGGTTGATATTTGAGGTATTAAATATGCGGTTTTACTAGGTACCTAAGTGTTCTGGAATCTTCTCGAATCTCTCTTGTGTCAATAGATCTGTAACTGGCAGAATTATGTGTTGCTCATTACACCTAATGCACGTTTTAATAGAAATATCATCCTATTGTACCTATCAATTATGTCAAACTACTTCATATGTTATTTAATTGAGAATTTTTATCAATGTCAATTATTGCATACATATTTTAATTGAAATTCAGGTATGAATTATGATGTATTGTGATCAAAATTGCAGCAGTTTATAACCCATTTTTTCTTTCTTTTATTTTCCCCCTACCAAAGGAAATAAAGAGACTGATCATACAAGGAAAGAATTTTTTTTCAAAATCATGATGATAATAAAAACACAATAAAATATCATTGTCACCACTAAAACGTGATATATTTATAACAATATAACACAATAAAATATCATTGTCACCACTAATCTTGATATATCTATAACAATATTACACAATAAAATAGCATTGTCACCACTAATCTTGATATATCTATAACAATATTACACATTAAAATAGCATTGTCACCACTAAATGTGATATAATCATAACAATATAGCACAAGAATGTTTGCCTTTAAAGTATCCATCATAAGAATGTTTGACTTTAACGTATTTATCACAATAATGCTTGCCTTTAACGTATTCGTTACAAGAACGTTTGCCTGTAACGTATTTATCACAAATTTTGACCATGAAGTCTAAAGCATCCTGATTTAATGATTGCGTCTACCTCTCGCCGGAGCCATAAAGATGAGACGGCTTACGACAGAGGTAATACAGGAGGATGAGTATGGTGTTGAGCATCACTGAATAGAGGATCAAGGGCAAATTATGGTCAAATCGGGAAAATAAAAAGAGGTCAAGATCAATTCCAGAAAAATTTATACAAACTGCTCTTAAGCGAATAACACCTGTCCACACCATATTAACCTGAGATACATTTTAGCCAAATAATAAAACTAGACGGTGATGTTTGAAAGCCAACGTTATTATAAGTCAATATTAAAAAGGAATTTACTTATCACATACTACTATAAATATATTTGCTTTCAGCATTGGAATATTTCAAAAGAATGTAAACAATGTCACAGTTATTTTGACAGTGCCGTTTTAAGAGGATTTTTTTCTATTTATTTATTTACATTCACAGATGTAAATTATTCAAAGACGCTTACCATCCCGAAACATGTTATATTCTCTTCAATGAATTTTTTTCATATTTTGTTCTTTTTGTTTTCGATTTTGAGTTTTCGTTCTGTTTTCTTGACCGGTCATTTTTGTTCTTTTGTCCACCTTAAATTTACGGATGCAGTAGAGTCAAATTCTAAAGCAATCCATATAACAACTGCTTCCCCTGGAATTCTTCAGTGAGATGAAAAATTCAAAACTACATTTTGTGTAACGGATGGTTTCATAAGCTTAAATTGGAAATAAGCGAAACATCTTAAAATATTTTTTATATTGCTCATTTTGGAGTGTGGTGTTTCTTGGTTAGATTGTCCGAGATTTTCTATAGTTATTTTTTGAAAAAAGAAGTCTATTGTCAATTCGAGGCATGTTTGGACCCTAAGGCTTGCCCGATCACCTGCGTTCCAAGCAATTTATCTCACAGCCTTCAGAGATCAAATTGCTTTTCCATTGGCAGATCGTTTGTTAGGAAAGCATTTTTCATTCACCTCATCTACAGGCCAAAGTAGAGATTGTTCAATCACTTCCTCTACAGGCGAAGGTAGGGAATGTCCAATCACGTCCTCTACAGGGCAAGGTAGGGATTGTCCATTCACCTCCTCTCCGGGCCAAGGTAGAGATTGTCCGATCGCCTCCTCTACAGGGCAAGGTAGGGATTGTCCAATCACCTCCTCTACAGGTGAAGGTAAGGATTCTCCATTCACCTCCTCTTCAGATGAAGGTAGTCCTCTCCGGGCCAAGGTAGAGATTGTCTAATCACCACCTCTGCGGAACAAGGTAGAGATTGTCCAATCACCACCACTACAGGCCAAGGTAGGGATTGTTCAATCACCACCTCTCCGGACCATGGTAGGGGTTGTCAAATAACCTCCTCCCAGGGCCAAACTAGTGATTGTCCAATTACCACCGATAGTAGCCAAGGTATGGGTTTGTTCAACCTCCTCCTCTGCGGAACAAGGTAGAGATTGTCCAATCACCACCACTACAGGCCAAGGTAGGGATTGTTCAATCATCACCTCTCCGAACCATGGTAGGGGTTGTCAAATAACCTCCTCCCAGGGCCAAGGTAGTGATTGTCCAGTTACCTCTTATAGTAGCCAAGGTATGGGTTTGTTCAACCTCCTCCTCTGCGGAACAAGTAAAGTTTGTCCAATAACCTCCTCTCCAGGACAAGGTTAGGATTGGCGAATCACTTCCTCTCCAGGCCAAGGTAGGGATGTTCCAATCACCTCATCTCCATTTGCTACTTTTTATATCTTACTGTCTACATTTATATAATTCAAATTATAGTAATGTAAGCGCTGCATAGACATTACTACCTTTTTACCAGCACTGTATTCTTACATTTGTGACTTTTAAGTCATGTCTTTCATGTCTTTTGTCTTTCTTTAGATCACGACTTCAGCTAACTTTAATCACAATAGTATTTATCTCTGATCACACTATTTTGTAAAGCTCTGCGTTAATGTAGTTTCCATACCTATATTTATCACAATAACAATCAAATATTCCAAGTTTTCGAAACAATAAAAAACGAATTCTGTTTACGTTTACACCTTTTATTTACTTTGTCGCAGAAATATCACAAATATTGGTTCGTCAATCAAAGTAATTTCTTCTGAATCACTCTTAAAATACGTCAATGATTTGTACAAGAAATATTAAAACATTCGAACATACATTCACTTTTGAAAACAAAAACATATAAATGGAATTAAAACGAAATCAGTCAAATGAAAGTTTTCATTCAAAGTGGCATATGATAATTATTTCAAAATTCAAAATTGCTTTTAATGACACACACTGACGTGCATTATTGTCACTGTAAATAATACAAATTCGTTCTTAACATTAATTAACGTGTCTTTTGCTATTACTACATCACAATTCATTCTCCTTATATGGAGCTGTGACAAGAAGCTGTCCATCAGATCTCTTTGAACACGAGAGTTTGCTGACATCAACATTGTCCGGTAATGTGTACTGTGTAGAATAATACTCAGATCGTGATACTCCATCCTCACACTCCTTCTTCTGGGATTTCACCATTATGGAGTTACCCTTGTGTAGCACTTGGACGCCATCGCCACCGAACTGGTCTTTGTTGAAGGAGAGTGTAAACGTTTTCTGTTTCTCGTCTCTTACTATTTTTCTGCTTTCTTCACATACATCTAAATCATCATCACGTGTCTCCTGTCCCTGATCAGAACTCAAATCTGAATATTCTTCGTTTTTCATTAGAGACTGCTCATGTTGGATCAGGATGTTAGATTCATCAACGACTTCATCACACTCTCTATCTTTCCGCTTTGATTCAACAAACTCAAAGTCCTCTCCATCAATAAAACTATCAATGCTCTCGGGGTTATCGACGATTCCTTCTGGTCCAGTTTCTCCATTGATATCATCGATGGAGCCATCTATTACACGGACCTCTTCCATCTTCTCAGATTTGACAAAATCATCCTTTTCCCCTGTGGTGGAAACCTGTCCTTCTAAAGTTACTTCGGACTTTGGTTTTTCCGCTCCAATTTCTACAGGCACTTCCCGAAACGCCTTATTTTCGTTCACAGGCATGACATTTGCTTCTATAGTAAGCAGGCCATCGTGTGTAAAGCGACTTTTCATGGAACTGATGTCAACACCTTCAGGTATAGAAATGACCCTGTTGCTCTCGTAAACATCCGAACAGTTCTCATCTCCGTCCACTCGACGGGCTTTGATTAGGGCTCGTCCCTCCTTGGTGGTAATCGTGACGTCATCAGCCTCATACCCTCTTAGATTCAGTTTCTGTACCCATTTCTTGGTCCTCGGATTTTCGGGTTGTCTGCGTTTATTGTGAGATGTATGACCTGTCAAAGCTGACAAGAGAGGCAGTAGGATATCCGTCAATTCAGGTAAAGGACGATTGTCCTTGTAGGAGGAGCGCCGAGACAGGTGCCCGGGATTGAAGGCTTGTCTGCAAGTTGATGGTCGTCGATCCCAATAACACTCCGGATAGTGATGAGGAGCAGTTCTCAGTGTAAACATTTTGCTGTCAGTTGAATATGTTAGTTGGTGCGGCGTTTGTAAACCTTGTGTAGATCTTTCCTGTACTCGCTTCAGTCTCGATAAACAGTTTGAGTCTGGATGGGCTATGTGTTGCCTTATATAGTAAATGATCAGTAATGTAGAAGTCGCGAGAAACTTCTCGAGACGACTAGTAACCATATGACGTGTTACTATAAATAGACACAAGCGTAACAGAAATATACCATGTCAAATCAATACATAGTAATATATATGCGTCTTGATCATTCTAGAATTATCTTTTATAATTAATTTCATCATATCTCATCCCAGATTGTGAAACGTAAATGCTGGTAGGGTTCCTTACGGTATATTTGTATGTATCACCTATGTGTAAAATGACCTGCTTAATAAGGGGAATCCCCTACACATTATAGCCCTACATTTGTTCAGGTTTACTGGACATTAAATCATAATAAATGATACTTCGCTCTCATTCAAAATCATTGAACGCCTAGATATATTAAAACAATTCTATATTTAAATTATCATAGTATATCGTAAGTGTACATGATTAAAATTGCAGCTTTTACACGTAATTGTATATATATGGCTTGATAATAAGGAGACTATCTTAAATAATTATAACGATTGTATATTTCCAAATATGTACAATAAAGGTACTATGTCTAAGTTATTCATTAAACTCAGTTTTTGCCAAACCACGTAAATAGACAAATAGAAAATTAGGAAATGAAATTCCAATTTAACAATCTGAAATGGGAGTCACACAATTCTAAAATGTATCGTCATGGTTGATATTTGAGGTATTAAATATGCGGTTTCACTGGGTACCTAAGTGTTCTGGAATCTTCTCGAATCTCTCCTGTATCCGTAGATCTGTAACAGGCAGAATTATGTGTTGCTCAGTACACATAATGCACGTTTTAATAGAAATATAATCCTGTACCTGTAAATTATGTCTAACTACTTTCTATGATATTCAATTGAGAACTTTTATCAATGTCAATTATTGCATACATATTTTAATTGAAAATTCAGGTATGAATTATGATGTATTGTGATCAGAATTGCAGCAGTTTATAACTCATTTTTCTTCCTTTTTTTCTTTTTTATCTACCGAAGGAAATAAAGAGATGGATCATACTAGGAAAGAAATTGTTTAAAAAAAGGTCAATAATTATAACACAATAAAATAGCATTGTCACCGCTAAAACCTGATATATTTATAACAATATAACACAGTGAAATATCATTGTCACCACTAAACGTGATATTTTTATAACAATATAACAATGAAATAGCATAGTCACCACTAATATTGATATCTCTGTTAAAATATAACACAATAAAATATCATTGTCACCGCTAAACGTGATATATTTATAACAATATAACACAATAAAATATCATTGTTACTACTACACGTTCATAACAATATAACACAATAAAATATTGTTACTACTAAACGTGATATATTTATAACAATATAACAATGAAATATCATTGTTACTACTAAACGTGATAGATTTATAACAATATAACACAAGAATGTTTGCCTTTAACATATTCATCACAAAAATGCTTGCCTTTAACGTATTTATCACAAGAATGTTTTTCTTTAAACGTATTCATCACAAGAATGTTTGCCTTTGAGATATTCACCACAAGATTGTTTGCCGTTAAGGTATTCATTACATGAATGTTTGACTCTAAAGTGTAAATCACAGGAATGTTTGACTCTAAAGTGTAAATCACGGGAATGTTTGACTCTAAAGTGTAAATCACGGGAATGTTTGACTCTAAAGTGTAAATCACGGGAATGTTTGACTCTGAAGTGTAAATCACGGGAATGTTTCAAGGGGTAACATATCATGTATTAATAAAAAAGACTTTAGGGCAGCAATATATCTAAACAGATGTACACTTGGTATGGTATTACATGAAGTGACGTTCCTTCAGCAGAAAGTACTTAACTATTATGGAGGTTAACGTAGAAAGCAAATTGATTTAGATATTTTATGAACCATCTATCACATCGTGCCTCTTGGACAGCGGTGTTGCCCTTTTCACTACGAGAAATCGGGGCGTCTTTTAAAAACGTCATTAAGAGCCTTATGTGAAGACATTTACCATGTAAATTCATGTCTTTATCGTAACCCTGAGGGGTGTAGTACTTCCCACGAGTTGTTACGAATCCTGTATCCTTCATGTGTCGCTTATTTGATTGAAGGATAGGAAGCCATGTCGAGACTTCTTTCTTCCTTCATATCCACTAGATTCAATTACAAAGTTTTCCTTTTTCCGTTGTTGGGTGTTCATGGTCAACTGACCTGGATACTATTTACGATGAAAATATTGCAATAATACTTCATTCATTAAAAAATGGTTTGATTTTGTTTTATAACGGCACGGCGTTACATATAGACTTTAAGTCCCTGAGAGCAGTGAGTTGACATAATGAATAAAATACAGACATGATTACATATATGATGTAGATATGATGAACAGGGCTTTATCAGGTGAAATATGTTTGTCGTTTTCTTCATAAAACATCTTTCACCTTCCCATAAAAAGTTGGCAACTCGAGAACCTGATGCAATGTGCAGCATGTTGGCTAGCTTGATAATTATCAAAGAGATAACACAACCACTGCACAATTAACACGCAATGTAGCAGTAGATAGCAGACGACATGTCATGGAAGACTACAAAGCGTATTTAAAAGTTAATAATGTCCATGTATCATCTCCTGTCATTATTGTCACGTCTCAAAGCACACTCGGCTTGACCCATGGTCAGTGAATTGATCCGTCACACAAAGGTCACATGGATTTAATTGACTAATATTTGCGCACAGGATTACCTGTGAATCGACAGCGTGTTCTGTATATATAACACAATTATGGGGATTATTTTACTTGTATAGGCCATGCTTGAACGGACACGTTTTAAAACCCGTTCTGGCCTGAGCTCTGTCGAGAACTGGGACGGGCCCACAGTAATAACGAGCTTCAACAAGTGTACACCCAGACACACATTCCTCGGGGAATTGTTCCGTATACCCATGGTAAACAGTGATAGGGTTTAGCAATATGGCGGACTTGGATTCGGCAGTAACGTGGTCAGAAGATCTGTTCTCGGTCAAAGAGTCCGTGAACAAGCTTGGACTGCCGTGTATGGTAAAGGTTGTAAATGGCTGCACACATGCAGATTTTTCGGAAGGCCATTTGTTAAAGCTCGACTTCGGAATAGCTATCAAAAAGGTAGCGGCCTGTTTTGTGTCGAAAAGGCCCGACAGCGGGGACAAGACGAACAACATATTTATACCCCTGGGATACGAGGGAAAGGTGAGGATAGCTCGTGAAGACGCGGGCAACAAGATATACACGAGTCTGAAAGATCTTATAGAGGACTTCCCACGTTATGTACAGGCGGAGGAAGGATTCTCATCTACTGAGGACGGTAGCGGCAAAACGTTGGCGATACCGACTAAGGCCAAACTCGAGCTGGACAAGGCGATAGGAGTGGCAAATCTCTACTGTAAGTTCAATGATAAGACAATTCTTCTAACTTCTAAAGATAAAATCAAGTTCCGGTTGTTAGCCGACGACACAACATATACTTTACAGGAAGTCGTGGACAGGTTACACTTTCCACAAACCGTCCGATTTCTTGACCCACAATTTCAGATGGTAGCCAAAACAGACCTGAACGGAGAGAGCTGTGGAACCATCGGTGATACTCTGGAATTGAGTCGTGTTACAAGTCATGAAGTCATTGTGGGTCTCCTGAGACCGTCAGTGATTCCCACATGCGGACCTGGAAGTGTTAAAAAGAAAGTGCAACCCACGCTCGCTTTGTTTCCACTTCAAGCCAGTGCTGCTGTTAACGATATAAAAGTCAAGGCTGCTGTAGACAAAAACGACAAATCATACAAATCGACGATGGCGAAACTGTTTCCCCAGACAGTGGACAGGACACTCATTCAAGAAAGTTTCTATGTCGATATGGCAAGTAAGGTTAACATACACATACAGAAAGACAATCGTTGGATTACCGTCAAACCAGCACCAGTCAAAAAAGTGTCTGTTCCCTCCCCTGTGGATATCCCACCACCCCTACCCAAGGGCAGGGAGGAACGAAAAATGTCACCTCGGGCGAAAACACCAACCTCGCCATCAAAGGAAAAGATTCAGTTATCTCCTCGGGATACAAAATCTCCAACCATGGACGATAGCCCCAAATCTCCAAAAGATAAAGATGGTAATAAAAACAAAAAGGACAAAGATAAAAAGGACAAAGAGAAAAAGAAAAACAAATGTAAAGAGTCACCGAGGGCCAGTAGCGCAGGTTCTGGTAAGTATGATCTCCGGTACGGCTGACGGTGATTAATGTTTACTGTAATTCACAGGTATCGGGATATTTGGTTATACGAAAAATGACACGTTGGAATGAAACTGCACTAATTACAGTAGCTCAAGTTACCAGTGTATGCATTCAAATGTAATTCTACTGCATAAAGTAAAATTTGATATCTCGGGAACGTGTTGTTTAATTTGACACTACAGTTTAATTGAGGATTCGTTTTAAACGCCATTATCTGTAGTTTCTTAACATCATGATGTTCATAAACAACTTGGACGAAATAAAATTGTCTTTTTATTGCTTTATTCACTGAAAATTGTTGTTAACTGTTTTAATGTCTAAAAACAACATATTTATTTTATTCAGGCAGGTCGAATACCCCTTCTTCTCTCCACATACCAACTGATGAAGAGGTTCTTCCTATCGCCCCTTCCACGCCCTCACCCTCCCCGCCCCTTCCACCGGATCTACCTAAGAGGAACATGCCCCGCAAACCACCGCCCTCGACAACAGGTGAGTAATGAAGGGAGATTATTGTCCTAATATGACCTGATTAATACAATCCAGTTATTATTTGATCAAGCATTTTCTGTTTTTGACAAGTTGAACTGATCTCAGTGTTGGGCTTGTCACGAACTTGGTATAACATGCCTACTCCGGATTAGACAAAAACAGAGATTATGCGCGTAAATTTCGGGTAAGTTCAGTTGGAACAGATCAATTGTTTTGATTTACTGTTCAATCAAGAGGACAGCACAACCGCAAGAATATTGTATAAAAAGGTTGGTTAACCGCAGGTTATCATCTATAACAACAATTCACAAACGCCCTTCAGAAACTGGCCAATAACACATTCATCAGGACTTGTTTCTAAAACCATGGAAATTTCCTTGTGCGGGGGAATCGTGATTTAAATAGACCACTTTATTTTGTCTACACCCACACAGAACAGTAATCAACTGTGTTGTATTTACAAAGATTTGATTAATAAGCTGTCTGTCGTCGTATCAGCCAATCAATGGCCAGAGCACCAGAAATAGTATTTATTATAGGTGAAGTTATTTTTAGTTACTGGTGATATTATCTAAATACCTTTATTGCTTATATGTCTAAATTATGTTTGTCTACTTTATTTAAACCCCTTTACGATGCTGAATTATTTCATGTGAAAGGTTCGAATTTTTTCGTTTATATCACGCACAGATGATTTTGTATGTATCCAGTATGTATAATATCATGTCATACTCCGTAGATCAATGAAGCAGGCACTGTTTGATGATGATGTATGTTATCTCCGATTGTGACTGGAATGTTATTGTGAATGGTCTGATTTATACCACGGTTACTGTGTTCAATGTCCCCCAAAGTCATTCTAATGTGTCTAGGTAACCATGTCGTGTTGGTTTATTTCTTTGAGGAGTGATTATGTTATTGAGCTATGATGAAACATTCATCTTATGTATTTACAGTAGCAGATCTAAAGGAACCCCATATGCTCTAATAAAATCATGTGGAAACGTGTGGCATATATATGAATATTTATGGTACATTTAAGTGGATACGTATAGTACATTTATGTGGATACGTATGGTACATTTATGTGGATACGTATGGTACATTTATGTGGATACATATGGTCACGTATGAGGATACATATGGTCACATATGGTCACGTATGTGGATACATATAGAAAAGTATGGTACATGTATGTATGGTTAAGGGTTGATAGTAGATATGGTAATGTATGGTAAAGGATTGTGAGTTTGTATGGTAATGTATGAATAAGTGTTATGATTATTTATGATATCGTTAAGGCTGTGAGCTTGATCTCAGTCGTTAAGGGTTGTCAGCATGATGTCGGTCGTTCAGAGCTGTGAGCACTAAATCGTTTGTTAAGGGCTGTGAGCACGATGTCGATCGTTCAGGGCTGTGAGCACGATGTCGGTCGTTCAGGGCTGTGAGTTTAGTGTCCGTCGTTAAGGGCTGCGAGCTCGATGTCCGCCATTCAGGGTCGTGAGTTAATTGGCCGTCGTTAAGGGCTATGAACACGATGTTGGTCGTTCAGAGCTGTGAGCACGATGTCGGTCGTTCAGGGCTGTGAGCACGATGTCGGTCGTTCAGGGCTGTGAGTTTAGTTTCCGTCGTTAAGGTCTATGAGCACGGTGTCCGTCATTCAAGGCTGTGAGCTTAGTGTCCGTCGTTCAGGGCTGTGAGCACGATGTCGGTCGTTAAGGGCTGTGAGTTTAGTTTCCGTCGCTAAGGGCTGCGAGCTCGATGTCCGCCTTTTTCAGGGCCGTGAGTTTAGTGTCCGTCGTAAAGGGCTGTGAGCTCAGTGTCCGTCGTTAAGGGATGAGAGCTTAGTGTCCGTCGTAAAGGGCTGTGAGCTCAGCGTCCGTCGTTAAGGGATGAGAGCTTAGTGTCCGTCGTTAAGGGCCGTGAGTTTAGTGTCCGTCGTAAAGGGCTGTGAGCTCAGTGTCCGTCGTTAAGGGATGAGAGCTTAGTGTCCGTCGTTAAGGGCTGTGAGCTCAGCGTCCGTCGTTAAGGGCTGTGAGAACGGTGTCCGTCATTCAGGACTGTGAGTTTAGTTTCCTTCATTCAGGGCTGTGAGAACGATATCCGTATATGGTGACCAGATTTGATGTCATGTTTCTGTGTCCAGGTTATGGTATATCAGTGTGATGGGTCTTTGTAATGTCCGTCGTTGAACCCTTCATATCACACACCGCCAGAACATGACTTTTGGTACCACAAGAAGGTAGAACCTCACACAACAACCAGCTATTGTAAGTAGCAGAGCCTTCCTATTGTGAATGTGATGCATGTTCATAATGATCCTATATTTCTACAGATAAACCAAACAAACCCACACAGATGCCGCTACCAGACCCCTCGGATTACGAGACACCACTAAGCAATACTAAAGCGGTGTCTCCAGTGACGTCACAAGGTAAATTTACTGACTTAAGAAACAATACACCTGCAATCATGCTGAGACTTACATAATAGACATTTCATGTGAAAATGGTTACTGTTCATTTGGTTGGTGACTAGGGGTCTCTTTAGCCCGGATATTTGCCTTATCGGCTAAAGTTTGGATATTTCTCTCCACTGGAGTTTTGAACTTTTATAACTTTTCTGCTCTTTCTACTGGCCTATCGAAGTCCCACCGCTCTGTGCTCTTCATTCTCTTTTGTCGTATTTTACCAAAAGAAGTTAGGCGTTAGATCCTCTACAAAGATTGTGCGGAACCATATTATATTCTTCACCAACCAATAGATTTTGTTTACCAACATGCATTGTGTGATATATTTATTTTTTCATTCTGTTGAAGAAAACATTTTAAGCACACCCTCTAAAAAGATCTCTCCTCGTATTCTGAATTCAATTCAATGTTCTTCTAGCATTAAACAGAATAAGGATGTACTGAGCAAGTTCATCATTGAAATCTGAAACTGTTGTGATGTTAACTGAAATAAAGTACAGTACCTCATTGTATTGCCTTTCCGCCATTTGCAATTTGAGAACATTTGTTCTAGTCATACCGTTACTCCAGCTTCTTTTCTCTTGTGGTTTGTTTATCATTTTCCTCGTGAATGAATTATATGAGATTATCAACCAAGAATAAATTTCTATTAATAGGACAAGAAAACGAGTACTTGGGCCTAGCACCAAGCGCTGCTGGAGGTCATTACTCAGAGTTACAAGGTAAGTTGCACCTAACATTCGATTGGTTTGATCACATCTGGGGTCAGGGTTCAGTCCTGTGATGGTGCTATGTCAATTGTTCTCCGTTGCCTGTCGTCCAATTTTTATCTAATAAAAAGACTTCCTTTACAATGCGCCTGAACCAGTTTTCACCGAACTAACCTAGTTCTCCGCCCTCCTATGAGTGATGGCGAACGCGATGCGAAGTGTACTTAATAACTACAAACAAGATTGTTTGGTCCTACAAATGTAACATGCAGAACAAGTGAATAACATCCATTGAAGAGATATACGGGTATTGGAAATGTATTACATTCATGCTACTAAGATTGAACCCTCGGATTTAATGGCCTCTGATGAATACGCCGCGCTCCGTTACAGCATCGCATAACTACATGTTCACTTGCTCAATAAGAATAAAGTCCAGGTTTTATCCCGCCCGTGAAGTCAAACCTGCCCATGGTGTTCACTCTGTTCGGGAGGTCCACCCTGCCCGTAGGGCCCACCTAATGCAGTTTGTCCATGGAATCCACCTTGCCTGTAGGGCCCACCTAATGCAGTTTGTCCATGGAATCCACCTTGCCCGTAGGGCCCACCTATTGCAGTTTGTCCATCATGTCACAGTTTCGGGTTCTGGAGTTCTTCCCTCCCTTATAACCCTATTTTATATCACTTAATATAGGACAGATTTCATTGGTTGATCAATAGTGTGAGTTGAGAATCTCAACATTTGCAAGGCCATTGTTAACTATAATGTCAAAGCTAGTTAGGATTTCGAAGGGCTTGCAGCCATTTCTTTTTCATTCACTAACCTGATTTTTTTTAAACAACATGGACGAATGGCTTTGAATGGCAACAAAATATAAACACACTAATTTGTTTTACAGATGAAGGGATATATGACGACTTGATAATGGACAGAGAAGAACCAAGTAAGCTATAAATGTCATCCTGTGCCATTTATTATCTGGGAAAAACATGCAGAAGATTGTAAATCGTGGTTGTACATGTCATAGTGATTTTTTGAAGAGATATTCATTTCGGTTTGAAGCAAACCTGTTTAATAAATCCAATATAACATGGACAAGGGTGTGTGATGCTATTTATCACATATATTTTACCAGAGAAAAGGCGAAAGACTCTCCATGTAAGAAAAGTTCGATTTTAATTATTCTAATCATGTTACGTGAATAAGTAATGTAATATCATATTACGTGGTCAATAAATGACGTCAGCAACGTGACATTTCACGTGGCTCAAAGTTACCATGTTTACGGCGTGTGGGAATTACATCCAGAATGTTTAATTAATGTCATAGGCATACGTATCTATTGACGTTACACCGGACACCGTAACATTATAACAGCCATACGAGTTCGTATTATATTAGGTCTGGTTACTAAAACTTCTGAAATCTAAAATTAAACTAAAATGTATTTGTCGATTTATTTCCAGACACGAAAAAGGATAAGGAAAAGGATAAAGACAAAAAGAAAAAGGGTTTCAAAGTATGTATTATACATGTAATGCTGCTTTTTGTCAGATCCCACTGTATCTCCTGTACATTTCTTATATAAAGTAACACAAGCAATATGGAATAACAACCACTGACGATGACCCAGATATTGATGATTCAAGTAATAAGTAGGTCAAATTATTGATATGAAGGTCATGCCAAATTTATATAGGTCAAATCATTAATAGATATGTCATTCAATCGATTTGCCGTTCAAACCATCAAAATGTAGTTCAAACAATATTTTGGTCTTTGAATGCACATATCATAGACTCTCTTTTTATGTCATGTATATTCTATATAGAGGATAATATACAGACTATATTTAGGTCATGACACCCATGCCAATCAATTCTATAATCCAGATGTAGGCCAATAAAATGTAATGTGTCATGAAATAAATATATACATAGGTCATACCATTCAAATATAGGTAAATAGTTCTAATGGGTTGAAATATTAGGGCGTGATATCAGTACATATTAAAGGTGTGTTGTTTTATTTTCAGTTTTTCACGGGAGGAAGAAAGAAAAAGCATGAGGTACCAAGAACAAGTGTTACCGAAGTGGCCACTGAACCCTTGGAGCGATCGACAATGCCGATTGATAAAGTTGCGGACATATCCTCCATAGGGAAAAAAACAAAACCGGTCGGTACTGTCAGACCAAATTCTCAATCCCTGCCGGAAAAAACCGAGAAACCGACGGAATTCAAGTCATTTACTGTCGTTAAACTGGTAGAGTGTTTACGTCAGTGTGGACTTCCGGATCTCGCAAAACTTTGCGAAGAGGAAAAACTGGATGGAGACTTCCTGTCTACCTTATCAGCAACCGATCTTACGAAGGAGCCATTCTCCCTTAATCCTCTACACCTGAAAAAACTGGAGAGAATCAAAGACGGGTGGCGACCGACGGAATGAATCCTTGTTAAAAATTTGTTATCTATATATTGTCTCGGCCGTCACATCTTAGCTTTCTTGTTGTACATGGGGTTATATATAGTAGACATTTAATGTCGCGCTGGTTCGTGACCAACTTCAAAGTATTCAAAATCAAAAAAAAAAGTTAAAACAAGTGTATGATGTTTTTCCCTTGATTAATGTCCTCTATATCAGAAAGGTGGCCATTTGCACATATGAGTTTGAATCTTTTGCACAATCGTTCGTTCAAATCAACTAATCTGTGTAACACATAATGATACAATTTTTTTTAAGATAATTTAGTAAGTGTTTTCTTCGCGATTTAGAAATTATAATCGTGAGAAAAACATCATTAGGGCAGGATTCTTAGAATGGAAGCATTTTGTTTTATATATGTAATTTATATATACATGTATATAATTTCATTATGTACCTAACTTCAGCAACAAGAAGCGAAGAGGTTCTGATTGTCTGTGAAATAGACAGGTATACTTGGGTGCAGTTAACAAAGGTGATAGGATTCTTAATATCATTGTTTCCAGAGAATCTTGGACACAGCTGGACTGTATGTTCCCTATCACTCTAGAGGAAGATTTTGCCCCTCCATGGGGAAGGCAACTCCTCGTTTATTGTACCGGTGATCAATTGGAAACGATAATACCTTTTAATCAAATCCTAATGATTCATAATCAAATATATTTCAAGTGATATAACATTTATTTTAAAATAACACATTTTATGAAATATTATTTTTGCAATAAAATTGCTATTATACAAACTATTCGTTTGTTTGACAGTACAATACACATAATACACCTTATACCAGAACACTGGTGCTATTTTTTCCTGTACAGACATTCACCAGGTGGTCCTACTGACGTGATGACAAATTCTCCATAATTGACCTTTCTAGTCACTAAAATGTAGGCAATATGTAGCTTGAATCTATTACAATTTGTACTTTGTAAAGCCGTTAGAAATGCGAGCAAGAACTTGTTTTCAGTACATTAACGAAAATTCCTGACTGAAGTATTCAACAAGTAAATTTACAACAAAAGACAAGGTGGCACTTTAAAACAAGTAAAAATACATAAAAAAAAAAGTTGGTACCTTAAAGCAGATAAAAACACGACAAAAAAAAAGACGGACCCGTCGCACGCTATCCAGAGCATTTACGATAAAATGTCCTCTAACACAACCACGTCAACACTGAGCGGTCCGTTTCTCAGCTTTTAGGATCTCGGATCCTCACTGAGGGTATGTGTAATCCAATGCTCCAACTGAACTATAAACGACCATTATTATTATTCTCTTTATTGCCTCCAGAGATGAAGATTACAGAAGAATGTTGAACATATATACAAAGCGTACGATACATATATAAATGATTACAGAATATGAATAACATAGATACACACTTTATACTTTAGGAGTAGGCATATCAAGTGCAAATTAAGCGAAAGGGGGTATTTTAAGGTATACCCAAAGAGTTTCAAAATACTCTTTAATATAAATGTAATACAAGGTCACGTGTCAGTATTGTAGTAGTCCTACCAAATATGTTATGTTAGGTCACGTGTCAGTATTGTAGTAGTCCTACCAAATACATTATGTTAGGTCACATGTCAGTTTTGTAGTAGTCCTACCAAATACGTTATGTTAGGTCACATGTCAGTATTGTAGTAGTCCTACCAAATACATTATGTTAGGTCACATGTCAGTTTTGTAGTAGTCCTACCAAATACGTTATGTTAGGTCACGTGTCAGTATTGTAGTAGTCCTACCAAATACGTTATGTTAGGTCACGTGTCAGTTTTGTAGTAGTCCTACCAAATACGTTATGTTAGGTCACGTGTCAGTATTGTAGTAGCCTTACCAAATACATTATGTTAGGTTACATGTCAGTATTGTAGTAGTCCTACCAAATATGTTATGTTAGGTCACGTGTCAGTTTTGTAGTAGTCTTACCAAATACGTTAGGTTAGGTCACGTGTCAGTATTGTAGTAGTCCTACCAAATATGTTATGTTAGGTCACGTGTCAGTATTGTAGTAGTCCTACCAAATACGTTAGGTTAGGTCACGTGTCAGTTTTGTAGTAGTCTGACAAAATATGTTATGGTAGGTCACGTGTCGGTATTGTAGTAGTCTTACCAAATACGTTATGTTAGGTCACGTGTCAGTTTTGTAGTAGTCCTTCCAAATACGTTATGTTAGGTCACCTGTCAGTATTGTAGTAGCCTTACCAAATACGTTATGTTAGGTCACGTGTCAGTTTTGTAGTAGTCTTACCAAATACGTTATGTTAGGTCACCTGTCAGTATTGTAGTAGCCTTACCAAATACGTTATGTTAGGTCACGTGTCAGTCTTGTACTAGTCTTACCAAATACGTTATATCAGGTCACATGGCCCTGTGAAGTTTTATCATATCAACATTGAGCAACATGGTTGTATGACCATACAGCACCACTTGATAGCCTTATAGTATAATGTCATACAAGGTCACATGGAATTATCATAATATACGGTAATAATACAGGCCCAGAAGTCTTTCCATATTAGGTAATACAGGCCAGAAGTCTTTCCAAATTAGGTAATACATGGTCACATGGTAGTCTTTCCAAATTAGGTAATACAGGCCAGAAGTCTTACCAAATTAGGTAATACAGGCCCAGAAGTCGTCGATGCACGTGTCAAAGCTGGGCGAAAATGTTGTTACTTTTACTTTTTAAGTTGGACAAGGCATGAACTAGTGGTGCAAACGGTACATATCTTCTTTCTAATGTAAATGTATTAAATTTCAAACTTTTGCATCAACAGGGCACGATTCGAGCCGTTAGGCTTTTAGAATAAAGGAATTGAATTGAATTGATTTGAATTGAATTGAGTGACATAACATTCTACGAAATACAGTGTGGATTATGCAATAACGTCAATATATAATACTAAAAAAGTACTTAAGTATTACAGTCATACATATTTGCTCACACAAAATTAGTGAGTTAATTCAAAATGTTGAGCTATCGTCATAATCATAGTATTTATATCGATTGCATGTTGATTAAGGTGCAAAATGATTCATTTCCCCCGATACCTTCTGAACACTAAACAAATTCTGAAAACGAGTAGCGGTTAAACAATTTTGAAATAAATGTCTTCCCTCTCTTATACTTATACGCAGAGTTTTTTCTGTCTGGCCGACGTGTACAATTTACTTCCTCGTCTGTTCGTACAAACCAGTTACGTATGCTTTTATGTACGACAAACCAGTTCACAACAAAGAGTTACCATTGACCCACAAACAGTACTGTATACTACATTCAACACAAAACACCCAAAATATATATAGTGACATGTGATTTGTGACTTGTGTGCATTCGTAGGCGCACACAAATATATACATCTACATATCATATAATTTGTTATTAAAAGAACATGAAAGTCATATACCTTATCATTAAAAGAACATAAACGTAATATCACTTTTGGTTATAAGCATAACTCCAAATTCTGTTTTGGATTTCATCCATGCTGACAACCTTATTTCGTGATTGATTAAAATAGTTGTTATTCTTCAACTCCTGTTTCTTTTTGTTATTGTGTCAGCCAGTCAATATTCTCCTAACATTTTTACGTCTTTTCAATGAATAAAGAAAAAATGTTATAGAATGCCCCTTTTTCACCGGGGTCACGCGAAGCGGCCTTTTTTCGCATTTTAAACATTTTTTTTTTGCATTTTCTTACATCCTGTTTTTTTATATACAGAACCTAAAAACTTATCACATTCAACTAGTAATACTGGTATGGCTGGCACCCTCAAACGGCACGTGCCGAAAATCTTAATATCATTATTGTTTCTCTTGCAAGAGACTTGGTAATGAGATTGTCTCCCTTACGTACTCTTTTGCATATGGAGTAAAACAAAGTGTCCACTTCCGCAGAAGTCAACTACATGTGGATTTCGTGGCGAAACGTAAAATATGGTGTTTTTCTTCACAAGTAGAGGTAATTAAGTTGAAGTGTATATTGACTTATGTAGTATTGGTAATGTTTTAATGTATTGCATGTGAAAGTCATATCAAATAGTCGCTACAGATGCATATTTCTAAGTTAAATACACTAGCTGTCGATTCGCGATATGATCAGCCTGGTGTAATTGTTTGTTTATTGGTGTGTAGGTATTTTGAACTTTCTTGGGTAGTTGTGACAGACTCGACATTGTGAAATGTTTCGAAGTTGTACAGTTTGGTTGTTTGAATACAGTATGTTTTATAGATTAATGCAACTGGTTTATACAGTGTCTTTTGTAACAAAATGAGTAAAAAAATGGGTTTAATGGTAATTTTGGAATGGTGTGTATCGTAGAGAGCAGCATCTTAGTTTAAAGTACATCAGGTCAAAAGTCAGTTAATGCTGGACCGAGGAAAAGATCCCGTGAGTGATAGATAGTGATGCACGCCTGATAACGGGCGGGGTGTGTACCCAAGTGGTGAAGCACCGTGGCAGAATATCGCCAGTATGATTGATCAGGACAGATAGATGCTCTCTTGTATGCCTCGCGCTGGCGAACACATTTGTAAGTAAACAAGATAAGAAACAATGTATAAGGTAGATCAAAGATGGGAAGTTGATAACGGGTACTCCTAGTCGCAAGTGCCTTCATAATTTAATGCTCCGGGGGCTGGGTTATTGTTGTCCAATTGGGACTAGGCTTAAATTAAGTATTTGGGTATTATTTATACAAAGGTAATAGCCAGCACTAGTGTAGTCGAGTCTGGGATCGAGTAGCTAGAGAGAGTTGGGAGTCGGACGTGGAGACGGGCAGAGTCCCGTATGGGACCTGCTCCGCGATGGAGCGGGTCCTGGCCAAGTTGGCCCATGAACGTTTGTATGGAACTCTTTGATATGGACGGGCAGATGTTTAGTTTTTGTCTGCCTTACACAGGTGTGTGGTTTTGGGGCCACGACATGATGCTGTATGTTGATTAGGAACTATCTTTTGTAATGGATATTAACGTGAGGAAAACCACTATACGATGAAATAAACGTTTCGGTCAACATTGTGTAACATTGTGTTTACTTTTGGTGCCGTTCAGCAGGATTTCGAACCTGTGAGAACACAGGAAAAAGTGTTCATAGGAAACAAAATAATGTGTGTCCATGAATTTATGAACTTTACCAACATCTTGAAAGGGATATATAACAGGAACTGTCACAGCGTAATGAGATATACTATGGGCTGCAGAAGTACAGGCGCTGCAGGGGCCACCTGGAGATTCGGGACATAGTGGATGTCATAGCTGGAAAGTCATGGCGATGACTTTGGATGATGCCGTTTGGAAACGGGAGGGGTGATTATCGCTTCGGGATAGGGTGTTACCATCCTCATCATTTGGGGTAAGGAACAGATAAGGTTCCTTGTAAAACTGGGAGGTACCAGTTAACTGTAGATGTTGTACATGTATGACTGTGACACTGTTGGAGCTCCCTGTGGGACTGTTTTCGTAAACACGTAAAAGCCAGAACAACCATGTGTTCATGGGAGGAATTGTGGATGGAGGATTGCAGCATATGCTTTGAGACAAAACTGGATACTTTCTTTGGAAAATGTGATGTATGTAACCACTCCTTATGTGAGGACTGTTATAGGAAACTATCTAACAAAAAATGTCCATACTGTAGATCAAGTTTTGGACACACAAACCAAAAGGAACCAGACAATAGTGGCCCAGAACTTTTTTCTGCGGTTGATGGCGTGAGCACCAGATTGACACAGGATTTAATTAAGCGGGCCAGATCTAACTGGCATAAAGAATTTCGACGTCACAATGGCTTGGAAATGATTAGGGCATCTACAAACGTTCAGTATTTTCCAAATTATGACTTAGTCCACAGCTTGATGGAAACAGAGAGTTTTTCTGATGCCTTGTTTAATGGGGGGAGATGTATTGACGCCCGTTTTGCTAGAGAATACATTCGCGCCCAGTTGACCTATATCCAAGGTTATGGGTACTGATGGGCAATTCTCAATTCACCGAAAAGATTATTCTGGTACTGAGTTGTATTAATATTTGGAGTGTAGCCTTGCCAAACTTGAACCAAGCACCGTTACATTGCTGTATGGGAAACTGAAAAAAAATGATGCTCTCGTGAACCGTTGTGGATTGCTTAGTGTCATGAACTTTTTTAATCCATTACTGTGTGAACATTTGGGTTAATAACTGAAATGCCGTTGTCTTAAGAAAGGTCGTAAACTGTTGGATTGCTAAACGTTCACGAGTTATTGGATTAATTGCTGTCGGGAACTATGGTGGACCATTACGTGAAATTATTTCTTACTGGTGAAATATTAATATTTTGGCATGTGTATTGTATTTTAGATAAGACATTGGAAAGTACAAGGGTGGAAAGTACAAGGGAAAGCGTGACGGTTATAATTAATTGTAAGATCAATTATAAAAAACTTGTTAAACCAAAGAAGACAAATATCGGATTAATCGTTTTTACTAACTGGAGTGTTGTTTACCATGGATTTGAATTATCGTTATTCGAGAATTGTTGGATTAATTGCTGTGGACCTGTGTAGTTGTGACTATTAGAACAGTGCCGTGTTTTAACTTAGCATGTGAAATTATAACTGATTGGCGAAATATTTATTGCATGTATATTGTGTTAGAATAGGACACTGTGAAGTATACTGCACAAGGAAAACATGTTGAGTACTAATTATATTATCTGTTCGTGGTGCATTATTGATAACTAATTACTATCATACCACATTTTGTTCTCGAGTTTTGGAATATTAGTTAATATTCTTGGTGGGAAAGGTATGTAACAAAATGAGTAAAAAAATGGGTTTATTGGTAATTTTGGAATGGTGTGTATCGTAGAGAGCAGCATCTTAGTTTAAAGTACATCAGGTCAAAAGTCAGTTAATGCTGGACAGAGGAAAAGATCCCGTGAGTGATAGATAGTGATGCACGCCTGATAACGGGCGGGGTGTTTACCCAAGTGGTGAAGCACCGTGGCAGAATATCGCCAGTATGATTGATCAGGACAGATAGATGCTCTCTTGTATGCCTCGCGCTTGCGAACACATTTGTAAGTAAACAAGATAAGAAACAATGTATAAGGTAGATCAAAGATGGGAAGTTGATAACAGGTACTCCTAGTCGCATGTGCCTTCATAATTAGATGCTCCGGGGGCTGGGTTATTGTTGTCCAATTGGGACTAGGCTTAAATTAAGTATTTGGGTATTATTTATACAAAGGTAATAGCCAGCACTAGTGTAGTCGAGTCTGGGATCGAGTAGCTAGAGAGAGTTGGGAGTCGGACGTGGAGATGGGCAGAGTCCCGTATGGGACCTGCTCCGCGATGGAGCGGGTCCTGGCCAAGTTGGCCCATGAACATTTGTATGGAACTCTTTGATATGGACGGGCAGGTGTTTAGTTTTTGTCTGCCTTACACAGGTGTGTAGTTTTGGTGCTGTATGTTGATTAGGAACTATCGTTTGTAATGGATATTAACGCGAAGTACTAACTATGGAAAACCACTGTACGATGAAATAAACGTTTCAGTCAACCCAAGTAAACACTGTGTTTAGTCATTGTGTTAAACTTTTTTAACTGTTTTACATTTATATACATATACTCAATGAAATTTGTAGGTGTAGGTCTAACAAACCTCTTACTTGGAACCATTTCGAAGCCTACCAAACATTGAAAAAAATTAAAGTTGTCTTTGAAATTTTGCAGTTGTGTCTCCAAGTTACATGCTGTACATGGGACTAGACAAACATGAAAGTAAGTTTAACTAATCCTTTTGTTTGATGTATGTTGACATGAGTTTTACCAGTAAACATTGTATTGTTGATCGGCATGACAAAATGCTTTGGTGTAGACAATGATAATCAATCAAGAACTAAAAAGGCAAATTTCATATACATTTATACAATGTGATTTTGAAATGCAACTATGTTTATATATCGTACATATTAATATGAACATTTTTTTTACCATCTTTAGATGAAGATCTCATCAAATGGGGATTTCCAGAAGATGTATGGTAAGTGTAGTTTAGAAAAAGGAAATATGGTAACAGTATTTTCCAAGAGGATATGTGGTAAAGGTATTTCCAGAGAGGATGTGCGGTAAGTGTAGTTCTCCAGAAAATAAGTGGTAAATGGTGTTTCTCAAGAGGATACGTGGTAAGTCTACATGTAGTTCCAATTAGTGGTAAGTATAGTTCCCCAGAAAATAAGTGGTAAATGGTGTTTTTGAAGAGGACATGTGGTAAATGAGATTTATCGAAGGTGTATGCTAAACATTCGCATTTAACCTAAGCAAGGACACCACTGCCCTACCTCCTCCCCTAACTACCATGCTCCTTATCCAAACAACTATTGCTATACTTCCCCCGCTCCTCCCCACCCCAGGCCTCGACTGTCTTACCTCCTCTCCTGCCAACCACTCTCTTATCACCTTCCCTGACAACCACTGTCATATCCTTCCACTGGCCACCACTGTTCTACCCTCTCTACTGACAACCACTGTCATATCCTTCCCCTGGCCACCACTGTTCTACCCCCTCTACTGACAACCACTGTTATACTTGCTCCCCAGACCACCATTGTTCTAACCCCTTCACGGACAACCACTGTCATAATCCCTCCCCAGACCACCACAGTTCTGCCCCCTCTACTGACAACCACTGCTATAGCCTTCCCCTGGCCACCACTGGCCTACCCCCTCTACTGACAACCACTGTCATACTTGCTTCCAAGACCACCACTGGTCTACCCCCTCCACTGACAAACACTGTCATATCCTTCCCCTGGCCACCACTGTTCTACCCCCTCTACTGACAACCACTGTCATACTTGCTCCCCAGACCACCATTGTTCTAACCCCTTCACGGGCAACCACTGTCATACTCCCACCTCAGACCACCACTGTTCTGCCCCCTCTACTGACAAGCACTGTCATACTTGCTCCCCAGACCACCACTGTTCTGCCCCTTCTACTGACAACCACTGTCATACTTGCTCCCCAGACCACCATTGTTCTAACCCCTTTACGGACAACCACTGTCATACTCCCTCCTCAGACCACCACTGTTCTACCCCCTCTACTGACAACCACTGTCATACTTGCTCCCCAGACCACAATTGTTCTAACCCCTTCACGGACAACCACTGTCATACTCCCTCCTCAGACCACCACTGTTCTGCCCCCTCTACTGACAACCACTGCCATAGCCTTCCCCTGGCCACCACTGGCCTACCCCCTCCACTGACAACCACTGTCATACTCCCTGCCCAGACCAACACTGGCCTACCCCCTCAACTAAAAACCACTGTCATATCCTGTCCTTGGCCACCACTGTTCTACCCCCTCCACTGACAACCACTGTCACACTCCCAAGTCCAACATTGTTCTACCCATATCCATGACAACCACTGCCATACTCCCTCCCCAGACCACCACTGTTCTGCCCCCTCCACTGACAACCACTGTCATAGCCTTCCCTAGACCACCACTGTTCTACCACCTCTACTGACAACCATGACAACCACTGTCATACTCCCTCCCCAGACCACCACTGTTCTGCCCCCTCCACTGACAACCACTGTCATAGCCTTCCCTAGACCACCACTGTTCTACCACCTCTACTGACAACCATGACAACCACTGTCATACTCCCTCCCCAGACCACCACTTTTCTACCCCCTCCACTGACAACCACTGCCATACTCCCTCCCCAGACCACCACTGTTCTGCCCCCTCCACTGACAACCACTGTCATAGCCTTCCCTAGACCACCACTGTTCTACCACCTCTACTGACAACCATGACAACCACTGTCATACTCCCTCCCCAGACCACCACTGTTCTACCCCCTCCACTGACAACCACTGTCATACTCCCTCCCCAGACCACCATTGTTCAACCCTCTCCTCTGACAACCATTGGCCTACCTCCTTTAGTTGTTGGATTGTCAGCAACCTGCTGTTCCCACATTCTACATAACAGTATTGGGATGCACTGCTGCAAATTATTTTCATAGATCACTCAAATGTCCTGTTACATCTCAAATGAATTAGAATGTATGTTATGTGTTGTATGAAAAGTCCAGCTCATTTTGAAGATATACATTAGAAGTTTACGACTAGTTTGGTAAGATCTAGGATTAACAATTAAATATAAGGTATATCAAATCAGTACTGAAAACTACAACATTTATTTATATGACTTCTGTTGAATTAAAATTGTTGCAACATATGTTTGTAAGTGTTTTTCAAGCTTCTGTAAAGAATATTTCAGACTTTTTAAAATTTTAAACAATGATGAGTGGTGGACAAAATGTTAAAAAGTACAATAGTCCTTTAAGAAACCATATCATCAGTTATATATATAAATATATATTACAGGTTCCATGTAGACAAGGTGTCCTCAGCTCATGTGTACCTCAGACTTCATCCTGTAAGTATCAACACATCAGGAATACACAGTATTGTACTGGTACCATGCTTGAGAACTTGTTGTCGTTTTCCTTAATATGAATACAGTATTACACATAGGATAATCAAGTTTTAGGTATTGATGAAAGTACATGTCAAGTTTTGTTATTTCTTGTTTTTTTTCTTAATCTAATCACATAAGGTTAAAGTTAGAGGCTCAACCCTCTCAGAATTAACCACTAGATTTTTAAAAGAAATTTTACAAAATGATTATGCTACAATGGGAATGTAATTTTCTGAAAATCTAAGTATTCTACTGAGTCGTTAATTTTTTGGTGAAAAATACAATAAAACTTATATATCTCCAAATTTTATTTTTTTTTTTTTTTTTTGTCATTTTTCCTTGTAAGGTTCTTGAAAATCATACAAAACAATAAACTGAAAATGAAATCTATGTCTTCCTACTTATACTTAACATACTCCAATAGTACATAGTTGTAAAACACAGGTAAAAAATATCACAGAAATTCTTTTTTTCATAAATTTGTAAATTTACATACAGAAGTGTTTCTAGGGGAAGGTTGTCTCCCTTGCATTTATCAAGGACTTTTTTTTGAGTAGCTGGTAATATAACACAACACATACATTATGCATATAAACAGTCATAATAGATACACTTTTTGACATTTTATAAAGTTTGATGAATTATGATATATGTACATATGTATTTATTGGGCATTCATAAATTATTTGTATTTAACTAGTGCCAAGTGAGCCTGAACCACCACTTGTTTTCATACATACAACCAAGTAAAAAGTTGCGTTCAGGTGTTGTCCTCTCTAATGATATAAACCATTATAACTTCATTTCTATTCTTTCTTTAATTCATATTTTAAATCATATGTTGCCTCTGCCTACAAAGATAATTCCATGACTCAACGTCCCTCATTCCATTCTGAGAATCCAGTAAGGGTACTGTTTTCCAATCCCTTCTCATTCTCGTCACTACACAGTCACTACTGGATTGTTAGTCTTACCATTCATCAGTATCTTTTACCAAAAATGACGTCAGACGCTTGGAATATGAATGGTCGTGCCAGCTACTGGAATTATGCTTTCGTATCAATCACTTTGAAAATGCATAAACCATCTCCTCTCATCTCTCCCCACTATCTTTGATGTCATGACATACTTTTTCATTCTTTATATACTGAAGAGTTCTCTTTCACGCAACACAAAATTTACACCCCACTGCCAAATGCCTGGTACACAAATAGGAAGTTACATTGCCACATATGTGGAAACATTACATTGTGTATAAAGTAGGGTCAAGTCTCCTTAATGAGTCTCAGAAATCTGTTAAAACAGAAACCTTTCTTCACCTAAATCATGTATATTTAACATAATTTGAAACTGTTAGATTTTACTTAAATACAGTTATAGGCTGTGTGTTTAGTTTAGTTAGGGAGACAGTCGAATAATGGTACAATGGTAGATGTCTGACTTTTAGGGAGACAGTCCAATAATGGTACAATGGTAGATGTCTGATTTTTAGGGAGACAGTCCAATAATGGTACAATGGTAGATGTCTGATTTTTAGGGAGACAGTCCAATAATGGTACAATGGTAGATGTCTGATTTTTAGGGAGACAGTCCAATAATGGTACAATGGTAGATGTCTGATTTTTAGGGAGACACACTGGATGATAGTATATTGCTTAATGTCTGTTAATAGGGAAACACATTTGATGAAAGTATTTTGTTCTTATCATTTTTAGGGAGACACATTGGAAGGTGGTAAATTTTCAAAGTCTATTTTCAGGGAGACACATTGGATGATGTACCACAAACTGTTATAGATGACTGTGCTCAACTGGTAAAGGCCAACAGTATCTCAGGTAAATTGTTTGGAACTATCTGTCTCACACAAAATAAACTCAAAACCTCGATTGACATGTTCGTTAATCAGACTTAAAGGAAAGACTGCACAAATGTAATGTTATAACAAGAGTGTTGTGACAGTGTAAGGGGGAGTGCTCTACTGTAAAGTTGATGATACATTGTATAAGTGGGATATCAATTATTCTATATTAATTTCAATGATGATAGCATGAAATGAAATACCCAACTGTCATTTCTACAGTGAATAAAAATCTCAAGAAATATCTGTTATCTTAGCATACTGATGATGTGGATTGTGATTGGTTCAGGTAACAAGATGAACAATGTTGATGTAGTATACACAATGTGGGCCAACCTGAAGAAAACTGGTGCCATGGATGTCGGACAAGTGGGGTTCTTCAAGGATAAAGAGGTTTGTTGCTTCCTCAATTACATATGTTTTTACTTGTAATTTTTCTCACTGATTATGATAAAATGATACAATGAGAAAATGTAAGAAATAATTTATCAAACATCACAAAGCTTTTTTGAAAAGATATTAGTATATTTTTTAATGGAAATTAGAATTGCCACTAGTCAACAAAAAATATATGAAGAAAGTTACAATTGATTGATTGTTAAGACAGTGAATGTGCAGAATCCACACTGATGAGATGTAGAGTATAAAAAAAATATTTTACTACAGCATTATCTCCCTTTAATTATTTAGGTGAGAAAGGTCCGAGTAGAGAAACGAATAAATGAGATTGTGAACCGTCTGAATAAAACAAAGGAAGAGAGATTCCCTGACCTGCGAGCAGAGCGAGAACAGCGAGATAGAGAGGAGCGGGAGGCTGCTAAGGTTAATATGCAGGAGCAGAAAAGAAAGGAAAAGGAAGAAGAGGAAAGAAGAAGAAAGGAATCTGAACTAAGGTTCAAATTTTCGTTTTTCTTTTTTTCTTTATTGAAATAAAGTATATAAAGGTAAATTTTATCAACCAAAATATGTATTAACTGTTAACCAAACAATGGGTACATTTTAAAATTTTTTTTACACTTTTGTTTAAAGAATTTATACTCTGAGGCATGTTACCAAGTCTGGTTTAAATTTACATTTTAGCTGTGAAATACAAAGAAAGTTATGGCATATGTTCGTCCCTATAAATCATCGAATGATGTGTTGTTCAAATCTTGTTTTATCCATCTGTCCAACACATCTGTCTGCACAATAATTGCAAAGCAAGCTTTTATCTTATATTTCGATATAATGGTTACATGAATTATTTTTCATTTGAATAATTTTCTTGATGTAAACCTCTATATACATGTACACATGTATTTCATGATTTCTGATGCGAGCTCAAATAGAGCAGCCATCTTCTCACTCGAGGCGGATGCTTGACATTGCCATTAGAGAAATCTATTATAATGACATGCTTGTGTCATTGTGAAAGGGGGAATACAATAATGATAATGTTTGTGGCATATTGCAATTCACTTTTTCTCCAATCCAGAATAAATGAAATCATATCACATGGTATTGTTTCCTACCTTTACTGTATAATTTTATAGAGAATGATACATATATCAAGAATTATTTTAGAATGGGGTTAGCATGCTTGTTTTATGCTAGAGATTAGATCATGTTATCACCATGTCATTGTTCAGGTAGATTCATTTCCAGATGGATTTCCATCAAACATCATACATATCACACTCCACACAATAGGCCATCTTGTTTATTGTGCTGAAGTCCAGGTAGAATGGTGGATCAGTATTGTTTGTGATTGTTATGGGTTTTTTGTTGGTTACAGATCATATGATTCTCTGATGAAGACAGAAAACATGACATCAAATCAGGTAAGTCTGTCAGGAACTCTCCCTGGAAAAAGTTTTTTATATTCACACCAGCTATTTACCACCATCCATAAAATCTCACTTTGATCTTGGGTCTTCTTTGTGAAATGAGTGGCATGAATGACTGGTGAATAAAGAATGATTGATTATTAATAGAGCTACAGTAATATTACTTTTAAAGTGTTTGATGTGAGATATCAATGCCATTACCAAAGGAATAATACTTTCTGATTTTGTCAGTGTCAAAGTTTCATGACAATGAACATACTCAGTTGTTAAAATGAGGTTTGCAGCCATTTTCTTTCCTAAGTATGATGGTCTGTTTGAAACTCTATAAAATGTAACCATTATGGTAGGGGGATTGGTGTTAATGTAGAATGATAGTGTCATAATTATGTATTTATGATTGGTCTTCTGCAGGACGATGGTAATGACTCAGATGACTTCATGTGATCCTGTCCAACCACCAGATTCCCAAGTCTTTCAAAGTCCACAAATGAATGCATCTCCTCATATCCTTTTCTGTTAATTGCTCCGGAATCTCTTCATTCTTGCTGCTTAAGCATCAATCTTTTTCAAAACCATTTGTTTCCTGTAATGAAGACATGGAAGTGGTATTTGGAAAATGATACAAGAACTTTAGCCATGCTGAAGACAAAAGAGAAAGTGGTATTTCAGGGAGTTACATCAGCTGTGCTGTTTGGTTGCTTTCTTGTAACTCAGTTAATGGACAGAAAAACTTGCATGTTTTGATACCAAGGCTCCAGAACACACTGAGGCTGGCCACAGAACATAGGGCACTTACAAATCAAGGAAACCAACTGTCTGAAATATTATTTATCATGTATTGAGTCATACAAACATACTATAATGTACTTGAATTTGATCTGGGTTACTTGAAAGCAGCTGCGGTAATGACAGGAAGTGGTGTTTTTGGAGAGAACATTATCTGTGATGTGGACTGGAATTTGTGTCTGTTGGGAGCACACTGACTGCGCTTTGGACAGGAAGTGGTGTTTTTTAGGGATGTGAACCATGATGATGTGTCTCTAGCACTGGCTAGTTATTTAAGTTGTAAAACATAATGTACAGACAAGACTCAAAACATTTCACTTTTAGAAGTTTTCTATTTAAAAGCATTACATAAATTTATCTTTTTTACATGCAGCTAAAGCTGTATGCTGAAAGATGAGAACCCTTGAAAAAATGTTATTCTACAATTAAACAATGAAACAGGGAAACCTATTATTGATTTTCTTTATATTACTTAACCATTATTTGGTCTTGGACAACATATTAACTAGTTTCTTTTTGTTTTTTAATAACATTCTTTGCTACTTTTTAGTGCTGAAAACTGCTACAAACTCTTTGTTTCATCATTTTACTTATAAAGCATAATTTTTATGGCTATGAACCTGGCATGAATTGTTACAGATTGTTGGTATGAAGATGATCAGATAAAACTATTTATTGAATTGTTTAACCTTAACTGAAGCAATGGTCAATGGTAATTTTTCACTATCCATCATCAGTACCTTAATATTTTCTTGTTCTAGGAAAAACCAATATCATTTTACATAATGATTGAATGATGCCAATTTCCAATACATTTCATTTTTTAAGCAAATTCTTGGTAAGTGAGACATTTTTTATTATAATTAGGTGAATATAACTGTCCAAATGGCCAATTACATCATATCAAAAAAAAAAAAAAAAAGCTTTTGTCAGATGAATGACTTGGGTAATATCACCTTTGATGGTTAAGACATCCTAGTATTTACCTGAAAACAGGTCAAAAATTGTATACAAACTTTAACTATCACTAACTTCTTCAGGGTGATGAACTGACTATAGTGGACAACACTAATATATTATTTCATTGCCCATTGAAACTTTTTCTTTTGGAGTTATCAGTATTTTTGTTTGTTCTTGACCATCTCTAACATTTGTTATTTAACTGTATTAACCCTTATAGTAATTTATTATGAGCAGAAGCCTAGGAATCAAGAAAAACAATAAATGGTTTTGATATGTTTAATATGTTATTTCACTTCCTTTAATTCCTCGAAATAATCCGTTTGATCACAATTGACATGCAATGATTATACTAACATTTGATAATTATCTCCCTTTACATTTGAATGTAATCTGAAAAAAATGACTCTTTATAAGACATCATATTTTCTGCTATATTCATTTTCAGCCCTAGGCATCAAATCCAAACTACTTTGTATATCTTAGATGTTTGTAGATTATATACATGAAATGTCACTTGTGTATCTTGAGCTGACTAGAAATTAAGGCTTTTCAAGGTGATTGGCAAAAAATTGAAATACTGTTTGAATGGAAGTGGATTTTTTTTTCACCATCTACATATTTAGTCATTTCTGCCATTTCTTTTATGCAAAATGAAAATGGAAGGTTAACTTGAGAATGCTGAAGATAATTGATAACTTGTTTGCCAGGATGATAGGGTACAAGGTTCTCTAGAGGAAACTAATACATAACATATATTTATACCACTAGAAAACTTTTGTGGTCTGGCAGATGATCCATATCTTATGTCCCACTTAATCATGGCTTTCTTGCCATTGTTAAAATGTGATGATATAACCCAATGTGTTGTAAAAAGATCTGGTCAGTGTGGTTTGTATGTGATGTTAACATACATTCTTGGCTCTCTCATGCCTGAGACCAGGATTTGACTCCTATCAGGGTCATAGTGCCCAACAGGAATGTGCTGTTCCCTCTTCTTTCATATTGGCTTCCAATTAAATCCCAGAGTAGCAGTTGAGTCAAATATGGTCTCCATCAATCAGCTGCTTTTTTGACTCAGTTGAAGCCATGGATTATCAAGCTTGTGACCCTGGCTTGATTCTCGTCCAGGTACTCAGCAATCCAACTATTAAGCAATAGTAATTTTTTATCTCTAAAACTAATGGAGAAAGTAAAAATAGATTTCTTATTCCAGTCTCGATCCAATATTTAAAAAACAAATTTTTAAAGTCTGTTAATGTTTAAATCTGAAGTTTTTTTTATTGGATTTCAAAGCAATATAACCAGCTACTTAAAATGTATAGATGAGAAAGAATGATTTTTTTTTTTTTTTTTTTTTTGAAACAAGATGAATGGTTTGAGAAATTTGTCTGTGAAATTTGTGTCAGGACCAATTTTCTACAATTTATTACGAAGTATTGACAAATGTCTGTAACAACGCTTGTACATGGCTGTTACTTGTGTATAGTAAAATAAATTATGTGTGCAATGAAGATTTGTATTTCCTTTTTTTATAGAGTATTGCTTTCTTGGCTCAGATTCCACTCTTCAATCAAGATAGAATGACATAACAAACGTCTGACGTTGGAATGATATAATACTGATTTCCACTGTACAGCTTAAAATAGTGGATTTAGATAGGTTGTATCTGAAGATTTAAAATGAAAAGTCCACACCATATTCAAGTGTATATAAAAATTTAATATTTTACTATTCTTTAAATAACATTTTTTATCTAAAGATTTTAAATGAAAAGTCAACACCATATTCAAGTGTATGTAAAAATTTAATTAAATATTTCACTATTCTTTAAATAACATTTTAAGGATGAAATGCTATTGTTAATCATTGACAGTCAAGGATGCAAGACCATCAACATAAAACTTGATCAACATAAAACTTTACAAATGATACATCATCTATACAAAAACTTGCAATCTCTACCAGAGTTGTTGTTCCTTAACAGTCACAATACACCTCTGTTAACAGCTCATGGACTACCAATAATTGACCTTGTGGTCAGGGTTAAAGTTTGAGGTTTGTCAAAAATATTGTGGCATTTAGGGAGGAAATGTGCCAATAATGAAGCCAAATCAATTATCACTGATATCACAATATATGAACATGTGTTACAAGAACTGGTCAGTAGTCAAACAGCAAAATTACTAAATGTAAACACGACAGCTGGTGTCTGTTTACACACCATTATTCTTTTGCAATGTAAGCCATAACATTTATAACTATAAAAACCAATGTAATCATTTCCAGATGCACAAATGTTTATATTCAAAGTACTAATACAAATAACATAACGAAAAAAAAATGAAAAAATTTCTTATTTGACATTAGTAAGTTTTATAAGAATCTTGAAATGGTGTGAGCTGTTTACAGAGGTGTTATGTAGGGTACCACAATGCACTCTGGGAGAGACTGAAAAACTTGTATACTGTAAACATACTTTCTAGAAGTGCTGACAAATGTTTGTTAATAAGATCAAATTTCAGCACTAAATCAACATTTTCACTCCGTGAAAAAATATTTGTTTCAACATCCAGTATACTTACAGTATAGAAGACTAGAGTGGTCAGTTTCAATGATCATCATTGTTGTTGAATTGCACTTGAGTTGAACCTCACAATGTCAAGAGTTATTGTAACTTTGAATAAGCTTCAAGATTAAATATGGTGTCAAGACAAAAGGAAAATTTGTTGGGGGAAAAAAGTATGTTTAAAACAAACTGAAAAAAGAGTTTGGGATACAGAATGTTTTAACAGCCTTACCTATTCAAATCTGTCTTTTATTTCATTTCAAAATATTTTTATTAAATCAAAAAGGTTTAACGGGAATTAGGCAATGTTTAAACCACCCCTTTCCCTAAATTTGTCTTCATCTATGTTGGTGTATACATGTACCACTGACCTTAAGTTATGTCAGTGTCTGTCACTCTGGTAGGACCTGTAACTGAATTGTACAGTGAAGATGATAACTTTTGTATCTGACAAGGAACTTGCTTACATGGTCTGTTATTTCTCTTCATTTACAGAGCTACAAGTGGTACCGTAGACAGGTACATTTAGTTATCAGCAGTTGGTTGCTTTTGTCTTTCTGTTGTGCAGTTATTACATGAAAACTAAAAACAAACAAGGAGGACAGAAAAGTGGACGGAGGTTGTTGTACTGTTTACATTGACAGAGGTTGACACTAATAAAACTGGACAGTTTTCTACTGAAGTTGGACAGTTTATTTATAAATGCTCCCAATGCTCATACAAAGGAAGTAAATATATACTTTTCTAATGGGAGATATTGTCACTGTTGACCTGACTTGTAAATGCTGTGGTTATGTATGCTGGAGGGTATCTAGCCTATGTCATCTGTGACCAACAAATTTGTGACTATACCTTTGTATCCTCTGTATATATAGAAAACACTGAAGGTCACTGTTGAAATGCCCTGTACAGAGTATTTGTTAACCTGTAATGCCTATAAAGTCAGAAGATAGAGATTAATCTGACTGTGTGTAGTATACTGCTTACACAGTAATCACCAATTTTATACATCCATTTGGTTTTTTTCTTGTAATAATCTAAAGAACTGTATGGATGTTATCAACTTTTTAAAGCAGGAACTTCTCGTATGTAAATAATGGAATTCTTCCTTTCCACAAGCAATTACTAAAAATATTCCTCAACATAAACATAAATAGAACCTTCTAGTCCGTCTGTCATGATGAACTTCCTTAAGTCAATAACAGTTTCATGTACTTGATAATTAACTAAAGACTCACCATTACAACTAAACGATATTTATGCTGCGTTGACAATAGTATGGATATTTCACCTCAATATCTCACACAACCATTTTTATACCACTGGAATGTCCAAGTATGGATGAAGCTACCATTGTTTTTCATTTAACTGATCGGAAAATAAAAAAAAAACATTAGATGTGATTTGAAATAAATAAATACTAAAATGTGGATTTCTAACATACAAATATAAATAGGCAGGAGAGAGGTTTCTATGACAACCATCAACTGATTGTAGAATAGATTGCGCTTACTACTACTGGTACTCTATAATAGTGCTTTCAGTCTACCAGGAAAAGTCACACAATCATAGCTAAAGTTATAACAATTGTCCATACTCACTCTCACAGATGACCAGAATCTATCATACATCACAACTATACAGCCCAAAAATTGGTTATAATTGTTTATAAACCATTTGATCTAGTATTCGGAAGATTTTGAGCCTAAAATATATTTCATTTGCTTGAAAGTCTAAGCAATCAGTATCAGTTGTTAGGAAAACCCTTTTATTACATGTAAGTAGCAACTATTAGTTTTATAGAAGTTAGCTATTTCATAGATATTGTAAGGTTAATACATACATATATGTTAATAACATGGGTAGATTCATGGATTCACACATTTCCATGAACTTAACAATTTCAACAAAAAAAAGTAAATAAATGGATTTGAACAAAACAGTATTAAATGAACTGTAAGATAATATGTTGAATAAAATATTGTGCACAATCAATAAACATTTCTAATACAGGACCAAATTGACCTAGTTACACAGGACTAGCTGTATAGTAATTATCCTCCTAGAGGTCCTGAGGGGAAGGGAGACAGGTGCCCTCTTAGGTGGGGATTGTCCCCATTCACGGACTGTCCAGTGAATGCTGTGGAAGACGAGCCCTCTGTACACTTTGTACTCGGACACTTTAGTACTGACATAGGCTTTCTTAAGTCCTGTGCCGTCCTTTATTTACTGTATGCTCTTTTTTAATCAGCAGTCTGGCCAGTCTTCCTGTACACTGGTCACTACCATCCAATATCACAATTATAATGCCTTAATTCCTGGGCAACATATCACAGACAACATGCTTCGTGATGATCAATAATTAACTTTGGCTCATTAATGGTAGTAGTCTGAATCAAGAATCACGGTCCTGCTTCACCTTCTTTTTCACTTTTTTACTCCTTTCATATCTTACTGTCTCTGCCTCAAGGGCACTTAATTCCATCAGTCTTTGCTGAAAGGATGCGGGAGCACCAACAAGGGGGTCTGTGTATTTAGGTTCCACTGTAAACATAGATAACATATTTACAAGAAATTTAATATATAAATTTACATGTGCTTAAATCCACATTATTTTGGGGGAAAAAAATCTGTTTTTGATCATTAACACGTTAAATGTTAACAATTTAAAGACTATGACTTACAAAAATTTTAAAAGTCTGGAGCACAATAAATAGTACGATATGTATATAGCATATTCAATTTTTATTTGAAAGTTACAAGAACGGTTTTGATATGGAATGTGTGTTAGCCATTGTACCATGATCTTTATGAGTACAAACATCAGGTAAACTGTCAATTATGTTAGCAAAAATAAAAACAAAGCACTGCACACTTACGCTTACCGTCCTTGATATTGTTCTTCATGCCTGAGGCTGGAGCATTCTGTACCATGATGGGTTTGACATTGGAGCCATACTTTCTTGTCTGAGACAAGGTAGTGGAACTATTAGAACCTGTTCCCACGGTGACAGTCTTGCCTGGACCATTGGCTGATTGGGAGGGCCCTGAGAAGATTTTCTGAGGTGGCTGCTGTGTCTGTTGAGTACCAGGACTCCAAATGGTGCCCATTGCTATAAGTTCGTCAGCATCCTTCCCTGAAATGTAAAATGCATCTTATTTTAAATTCTCAATAAAGCAGAAGGTATTCTCTACACTTGACTAATAACATGAGAATCGCAGTTTATGGCCACCTACCACTGAGGGTCCCTGACATGTTGCTGAAGCTGTGTTGTGTGTCTTGCTGAATACACTAATTCACTTGATACATTTATAAAATTAAGCTTGAAGTGGAACAAGTGTCATGTATCACTAGGTATATACATTGACAATGTTTACCTAGTGCCTATATCAACTGATAATAGGAAGATGTACCAGGGGAGAAATGACAATTAATAACAACGAGTCATTAATAATGTACAGCTCTTAATGTTTGAGATGACCCTGCTCTGGTAGGTAAGTATGGACATGAATAAAAAACCAAGACTTAATGATCCCAACACCATTGACGTAAAGCATTAATCTAATCAAACACAAAATTATGTTCTGTTTGTGTGATAAACAGTATGCTTTTACAACCTCCACTGGGTTATTACTTTCTATCTTCATGTTCAAGCCTGATAATGATAGTACAGCTGAGTATCACCTACCAGTTAATATTTCATCATACATCTCTAACCTGCTGAGTTAAACAATATACCTCTAACCTGCTCATATGAAAGCAAATATCTCTGGATTGCTACTATTGATAATATATCATTAAACTCTCTTAACCTGTTAATATTAAACTATATATCATTTAATAAGTTAATATTAATCCAGATATATCTAACCTGCTAATATTAAACCATACATCTCTAACCTGCTAATATTACACTATACATCTCTAACCTGCTCATATTTAACCACACATCTCTAATCTGCTAATATTAAACCATACATCTCTAACCTGCTAATGTCAAACCATATATCTATAACCTGCTCATATTTAACCACACATCTCTAATCTGCTAATATTTAACCATATATCTCTAACCTGCTCATATTAAACCATACATCTCTAACCTGCTAATATTAAACCATACATCTCTAACCTGCTCATATTTAACCACACATCTCTAATCTGCTAATGTTAAACAATATATCTCTAACCTGCTAATATTAAACCATACATCTCTAACCTGCTAATGTTAAACAATATATCTCTAACCTGCTAATATTTAACCACACATCTCTAATCTGCTAATATTTAACCATATATCTCTAACCTGCTCATATTAAACCATATATCTCTAACCTGCTAATGTCAAACCATATATCTATAACCTGCTCATATTTAACCACACATCTCTAACCTGCTAATGTTAAACCACACACCTTAACCATATCGTAAAATCTGGAAATCTAAACAAAGCAGCCCGATTAAACCATGCACAGATTCTATCAGAATAATCAAACAAAAATGAATTTACCTATACATTGTATTATATCTTTGAAAGCATGCTATTGGATTTCAAAAGTATTCTAAATACTTCTAAGACATCTCTTTGAGGATTTGTTGGTTATGAAATATGTTATATGATGATTTCAAACCTTGTTACACACTCACGTCTAGAACCTCTTCCAACATATAAAAACTTTCTACTGCATTAGTTTTTAAGCTGTATACCAATATAGCCCTTGAAATGCCCAGGATTTTGTAGTTTTACTTTAGTGAAATATAAATAGCATGTTTTTCTTGCCAGAAAAAGGCAACAGCAGCTTAGATTTATTATGCAAAATGATCTGTAATGCTATTGTTCTAGTTTTTGTTTGTTTTTTATTTTACTGTTTTATACATATATATATATATGTAATTATATGGATTTACTATAGTGATTACATTTTCTTAACTCTGTAAATTTCACATATACACATATTTCATTTATACAAAAAATAAAAAGAAGAGTACCAGTTTAAGTTAAGGAAAAACAAGATGAACCTACTTACAGTTCTTACTGACCATGTGGCGCACAAACTTTCCTTCAATCTTTGGCAGCCGAAGCCGCTTCGAATTCATAAAAGCAAACTTAACTTGTATCGCCATTTTAGCAATATGGCGTCTGTGAATATTTGGTAGCATAGTACCGTCTACAGCAGGGGGTGGACATTGAACACAGTACTTGACACTACCAGATGGTTCAGACAAACATTTGTCATAAACTTTACATATAGTTCAAGAGAGGCTTGCTATCCATTTGTTTGATTTGGTTTCAATTACACTGGTGTATTGTGTGGAACAGTCCTGATCCTGTTTTGGTTCCGGTGGTTTAAATGTACAATGTGATCAGACGTGTGCTAATCATAATATGATATTCTAATTAACCATTGTTGTTAATGACAAGCAGATTATTATCGACTCAGCTTGAGCTTCTAGATAGATAGTTCAATCACTCAGGTAAATACGGTTAATTATTTTGATAGTCAATAAAGACAAACCTGTTACGCTGAAAACTGAAATCAGAGTATACTATCAAATACTATGATCAATTGAAATGACATATGAGCAACTTTATTTAATGAATGTTGTTCTTTATAATGTAGTATATGATGAATCATGTTTAAAAAAAACTTACAGACAAGGTTAGATATGCTCAACTCATTACATTTATGATCCCTACTTTATGACCCGAAGAATGAAATTACATTGTTAATAAATGGAAATTTGATCAGATTCAGATCATAAGATGGCAGCCTATCATCAGAAAATAGTTATCATCATTTATCCCAATATCATCTGGATCATAAACATCCAGTGCCAATCAGTAAAGACAATGTGTCAGCCCATAAGTTTTGATACTTAATCATGTATTACAAATTACATAAACCTGTATGGCTTGTGAATCTGTTGTTGAAAAGAATGTTGGTTCATCACCCAAAAAGTGATATTTTATTGAAGATTTTTGTGCCCATGCACTGCTTTGAATATCCAAACAAATGACAGAATTTTAACCAAATCCAGAGATATTTTTGAAGTGTCAAACTACAGCATATTTCATATGAAAATGCTAAAGAGGTTCAGAATGATGGCATTTATTTTTGCAAGATGTTATGCAATCTGATCATGAGGTTAAAAAGGCTGAAAACATTAGCCATGTTGTGTCCCAGGTTACTAAAAGGCCACTGAACATTAGACTGAGCAGTGACTGGAGGTACAGATATATTTGAACTAACTTTACAAGCTTTTATGACATAGTTCAATGCAGCCCTATCTGGATATATGAAGATTTTACTGTTGTTCAAATGAGTACTTCAATAACAAAAGTAACAGATTTTGCATTATTGAATACCATTATTTGCAATTTGTTCTGCATAATCATTTTCCATAAAGTTTCAATCCTCTTTTATTTTAACAAATTAATAAAGAGAGTTTAAACAACTCTAAACAAATATGCCCAGATGAGATACTATACCAGTAATAATTTCCCAAAACAAAAGGTTTCCCAGTGCTATAAGAACTACAAACATATGAGTTCTCCCTTCCTCTACAGTACATTTATACCTACCTGAGGTATGACTTCTGGAGCTGAACAGAGGCTCTCCTTTGAGTAGTGAGGAACGCAGACCATTAGGGCGATACTGGTTGGTCTGCTTGGTAGAAGGAAGTATAGGGCGTAGATTGTCCTCACTCTCCTTTCCAAATGACACTGCAAACACCAGGTAAACATGCAAAATTGTCACTTATTGCATGAACAGAACTACTTTGGTCTGCAATTCTGTTACAGCATTCGTCATTTTCCAATACAGTGGAACCCACTTAATGTTACGTCTGTTAATATAAACTTTTGGTTATTATCACGTTTTCTTGAAACACAGTTCCCAACCCCCTCCCCTTTATATTCTATGTAATCCATCATCTATTACCATTTATTTTTTACTTAACATCACTTAATTTTGACGACTATCACTAAAAATACTACTGGTAATCACAATTAAGTGAGGACATGAGCTATAGCTTTATGGCTGAAGAGCCTTATGTCACAGCTGTATGCAATATGTAAACATCTTCACTGTCCAACTGGCCAACTTTTTATGCCTTGCAAGCTTGACAAATGGAACATGATATTAAGCGGGTTTTACTGTACAACTTTTGCCTGCAATATGGTCACAACCTTTGTCATTTCCCTATTCTACTTTAGCCTATAATACTGTCACCGCCATTTTCATCTCCATATATAACCCGATAATTTTCTCTGCAATACTGTCTCAGTTTTTGTCAGCTAACAAATTTTCTGCTAAGGTTGATTGTGACCTTACATGACATTTTACAATTTATCCTTCAGTTTCTCGACAAATACCTCACCACTCTTTACTTAAAATGCATCACAATTTTTTTAAGGAAAGTATTCTTCTTCTTTGATCTTATGCCTCTAAAGCCAAACTCTTGATTTCTTTTTCTATGGATTTTTATCATAGGAACTGTGTTCATTACCTTTCACTATGACCTGTGACCCTTAAGACCTGTGACACTTACCTTTCACTATGACCTGTGACCCTTACCTTCTCTATGAACTGTGACCCTTACTTTTCTCTATGAACTGTGGCCCTTACTTTTCTCTATGAACTGTGACCCTTACCTTTCTCTATGAACTGTGACCCTTACCTTTCTCTATGGACAGAGACTTTCGAGAGCCTCCTTTGCTCCCTGGTCTCCTTCCACTTTGATCACTTAGGTCACGAGAACTTAGCCGCTCTCGATCCTTTGGATTATAGTCAGTAAAACTGTTTTGTCGAATATCATCTACTTGTGGAGACTGCCGCACTTCATTTCCATATAGAATGTCGGCTGTTGAGTATGGAACAGTGGGTGTGCTTGAGGAACTGCAAAGACACAAATTTTCAAACTAATGAGCTTTTTCTCGAACTTTCTATAGCTTGTGTCACAAAAGACTACAGAATTTTTCTCTACAGTGTATGTGCTAAGTTCCTTAATCCAGACTTAACTTACCTACCTAAAGTCAAACAAATAACAGATTAATGCAAAGGCAAATTAATTTCTTACTCTTCTAACACAGGATTACAAAATGACCAAACCTTTTACTTCAATAAAGGTAGTTACAGTTAGCATTTGTGGTAATCTGACTTCTGTAACGGTGTTGTATGTAATCAACATTCAAGAATATATACATAGAATTAGCATATATTAGTCTGTTTTCTACTGCAATACAAAAGTGACTATGCCTTACATGTATATATAACTGGTTTTCTGCCTGCTCAAGAAACTAACTGGAGGGCAAAAAATTCAAAATTTCTCTCCTTGGTACTGTTTATGGTTTCACATTATGTAGCAAGTGGGTTGCTTGCTGTTTATCAAAACAGCCTTAAAAAAAGAAACATGAGTAGATATTCTTCAACGCCTTCAAAACATAAAGTAAGTTTGTGAGAGACCAGAGTAATCACTGTATCATAGTACTATAGCTAGTCTGTACACAAATAAGTATGCATGTACCAGTATAAAAGACAGCCTTTTCTCTATCTTGTCTAGTGCTGCTGTCTCTTTATACAACAAATTCATATATAGCCAATCTCTTAATATAATAATTACAGATGTACAAAAATATTTCATAAAAAAACATTTCTATCAAATGTTACAATTTACACTTAAAATGGGTATGTTTTAAACATTTGATTAGATTTTGAAGAGATTTACTTAATCATCTCTCCTGCCTTTTAATTGTCTGTGGTAGATCTCTTACATCGATTACAAGGTGGAATATTCTGAGAACTGCTGAAAATTGGGCTGATCATAATCCTGCAGATTACAAGTTTCATAAGGTAATTATTTACAGAGGAGGTGTTTTCCCTAAAATTATGACAGTCAAATTATGACAGAACAGCTGCCTTACATGTATAAATGCAATATAACTTATGTTGCTAGAGTGAGTCATTAGCAACAGCACCTGTGTGTTATATGGAGTCTTCATTCCACAGCATGCTATACATGCCACATGTATACCTGTGAATGTTTACAGTCTATAAACCTGTGTTCTGTGCCTGTACTGGTTACCTAGAAACACTACAGCACCACCCCTTCAACAACTTACCTCATAAGACCAGCTTCATATTATTCTTCCCACCAACTCTACTTTCCCTCATTGGTAACATAATATTGTTTAATATATTTTTGTCCCGTGTCTGGACTGGATATAGCACGTACATAACAATTAACACTGTTTGCATACACGACCAGTTTTATATTGTCAGTCTTAAATACAACAATATACCAGTTCTTAAGGTGCTTCCAATATGAGCCAGGGTTGAACAAAGCCCTTGTAATCCTTCATGGTAAGATCTCGTCACAAAACACTTATTAAAACCGCCATGGTGTAGACAGGCTAACAAAGACAGATTTACACATTGATAATACAATCATACTAAGTCATCTGTCGACCAGCAATAGTTATATATAATAACTTCCTATTCAAATAAGGCTACCTTAAGTTTAGGCAATTAATATTCTCGATACATGTACATGTAATACAAACCCTTGCCTTGTACTCATTACTGTGTGTACTTGAACTAATATTTAATTTAAATAGTTTGAATATCAAACAATAAATAATTCAAATGACAACTTGTCAAAGGTAACAGAATATGAATAACATTGAGAAAGAGTTGAAATCAATAAACCTTATAGCTAGCAGGATTTCTCCTACAACAGGCTCAATACAACAAAATATCCAGAGTTCCTTGTCATTGTCTGCCTTCAATACAGTATATGTTGTAAACTACAGACTGTTTACTGGTCAACGATTTCCAGTAATCAATACAGTTAATTAAAGCTATAAAATGCAAGACATTTTCAGGTATAGTAAGCCTTCAAAACAGCTAATGCTGCTACATACAAGTGTTGTCACCAACTATCAGACTTCAATACAGCTAATGCTACTACATACAATTGTTGTCATGTACTCTCAGCCTTCCATACAGTTAATGCTGCTACATACAAGTGTTGTCACCTACTCTCAGCCTTCTATATAGCTAATGCTGCTACATACAAGTGTTGTCACTATTGTCAGCCTTCCATACAGCTAATGCTGCTACATACAAGTGTTGTCACCTATTGTCAGCCTTCCATACAGTTAATGCTGCTACATACAAGTGTTGTCACCTACTGTCAGCCTTCTATATAGCTAATGCTGTTATATACAAGTGTTGTCACCTACTCTCAGCCTTCTATATAGCTAATGCTGCTACATACAAGTGTTGTCACTATTGTCAGCCTTCCATACAGCTAATGCTGCTACATACAAGTGTTGTCACCTACTGTCAGCCTTCGATACGGTTAATGCTGCTACATACAAGTGTTGTCACCTACTCTCAGCCTTCTATATAGCTAATGCTGTTATATACAAGTGTTGTCACCTACTCTCAGCCTTCTATATAGCTAATGCTGTTATATACAAGTGTTGTCACCTACTCTCAGCCTTCTATATAGCTAATGCTGTTATATACAAGTGTTGTCACCTACTCTCAGCCTTCTATATAGCTAATGCTGTTATATACAAGTGTTGTCACCTACTGTCAGCCTTCTATATAGCTAATGCTGTTATATACAAGTGTTGTCACCTACTGTCAGCCTTCTATATAGCTAATGCTGTTATATACAAGTGTTGTCACCTACTGTCAGCCTTCTATATAGCTAATGCTGTTATATACAAGTGTTGTCACCTACTGTCAGCCTTCTATATAGCTAATGCTGTTATATACAAGTGTTGTCACCTACTGTCAGCCTTCTATATAGCTAATGCTGTTATATACAAGTGTTGTCACCTACTGTCAGCCTTCTATATAGCTAATGCTGTTATATACAAATGACAGCCTCTGAAAGTTATATCATGTATAATCAGGCTACAATACCAGGATAATGCTATGAAATGTAAGCGTTATCAGTCATTTTCTGTTTTTATTTTATGATAAAATTACCGTAAAAACCCACGTAATGTCCGCATCTGTGTAATGTCCGCACCCCTTTTTTAACACAAAAATCTGGGGAAAAAACCCACCTTCCATGTAATGTCCGCGGGTAAAAAATGCAAATTGAAGCTGCCGATTTCATTTCACGTACGCTAATGTCGTAATGGCCGAGAGCATGTCGCATTGTGTATAACTTACAGGTACCATTCAAGAATTCACTTAATTGTTTATAACAACAGTTATTCTCCATGATGGTACAGTAAGCTTACCAGTATGACAAGTCCTCATTTCGATAATTGGTGTTTTGATAAGGGTTAGCCCAGTAGTGTTATAAACAGCTTGGGTCGTCTCCTCACCTCGAGTGTGAGTGAGTGACAGCGTGTGATTAGCCAATTAACGATAACTATACAGTAACATGACCCGCCCATGACCCACGGCGCCACTGACCCTACTGACACACCATCAGACGACGAGAACGCCATTTATTACAACGACCAGACAGAGGAAGACAACTTCAACGCCGAGGAGTTCTTCCACAGTGACGACGACGACTTCTGGGGTTTCGAGAAACGCTATTAAACCGGCCTGCTATGTATTAAGACTTTCTGATAAACGATCCATAATCAAAATGGGGAAAGGGGAATAACTCTAACTTTATTCATGTGACAAAGTCAAACAAAATGGCTTCCTATTACGAAGGACGACACAATACGAACCTGTAACGAGAAATTGGAAGGAATTAACCATGGAAACTATAATAAATAATCATAAATAATCATGTTTGGTTGAGGAAACATCATAGAAAAAACCATAGAACGATAATATAAGGTATGCTTGGCTTTTAAGAACACAATTCAAGGAGATATGATATGAATTGTCGGAAGGAAAAAGTGTCATTTCCTCTATATCTCTGTAATGTCCGCACCCCCTTTTTTGGATTGATTTTCGGTGAAAAAAAGTGCGGACATTACATGGGTTTTTACGGTAATTCTGTAACCGTATTGTAAGTTATTGTAAGTATCAAAGTATAACATTATCTTACTAAAGCAGGAGGCTCAATATGGCTGAATTTCTCACCTTTATTTGCAGCTTAGAAAGAAATGACATCATTTGAAGATATCATTCTAGTGAAAGTTCTATAAGTATAGCTCAGTCAGTTAGAGGGTTGGCCTGTGTAGCATCTGGTAAAGATTAAGGGTACATGGTTGGACACTTCTCAGGAGAGCTGAGAATCTGACTGTGCTGTCCTTGGGCATGACACCCTCATTGCTCTGGATGGCATGTGATGGGCCTTCCGTCACATGTTTTTCAGTGAGATAGCCACTAGGTAATAGAAGAAGACCCTGTCTCAAAACCCTGGCTGTTCATGGAATGATAAACCCCACAAACAAACATCATCCCAAGTATTCTTTGGGTGCCAGCATTCATTTTAGTCCTGGCAACAGCATATGCAAACTTTTGGTTTTTCAAAGAATGGGGACAAGAGTGGAGTGATGTACAAAATTCCATGTACCATCTAACCTGCTTCCTACATTTGAGAATCTGAGACACCCCTATCAAAGAACATCACAATGACACTTCAACATCCAACACCTGTGTAGCCAAGCACGTTCAGGAGACCAATCGTAAGTTAGACTAGTCAGGAGTCTTCACTATTAACAGAGAGCAGGACAAGTGATGTGGGTGAAAAAGGAGGCCGTTCACATCAGGCTCCACCTCAACAACCATAACAGGGATGGAGGGAAAACCAGCTGCCCCCTTTATATGATAGATTCCAGGTGACATAACACCATCACCTAGCTTCAACCAAGATGGACAGTGGTCATGGAAAGCTCTCAGTTAGCTTAGCAATTAAGTTGTGTGTAAGAGTTTACATTGATCCTTTAAAACATTATAACCTTTCT